AAACTGGCTGGCCAAGGAAAATAATGAAACTCCCAGATCACCTCATTCTCCACCTATCTAGGCCCCTACACCAAGTAGTTATATAGAATGGATCACAAGTCAACTTCAAGTCAGTGTGATGAGTATAAAAATTACTTGCCCAGGGGCTGGGAAGGTGGCTCAGTGGTAGAGCGCTTGCCTTGCATGCTCGAGGCCCTGGGTTCGATTCCTCAGTACCACATACACAAAAAAAGAAAAAAGCCGGAAGTGGCGCTGTGGCTCAAGTGGTAGAGCACTAGCCTTGAGCTGAAGAGCTGAGGGACAGTGCCCAGGCCCAGAGTTCAGGCCCCACGACCGCACCAAAAAAAAAAATAACTTGTCCAAAATCTTTTCATAATCATAACCAACTGTAGTAAGTTCCAATAATGCCGGCTTCATACAAGAGACATTGTGACATGTGCTAAGGGACTAGAGAATTGAGCATCTCCACTGACCTGAGAACTACAAGCTGTGTATCCATCCCACCTTTGCAAAGCTCAGCAAAGGAGCTCAAATGAGTGGTCAGCTACATGAAGATATACAGACCAAAAGGTAGTAGTAGCTAGGTATGGTGATGTACCCTGCAACCCCAGCACTCAGGAGGCAAAGGCAGAAAAATCTCCATTTAAGGCCAATCTGGACTATCAAAATAAATTTTAAAAAGCAGAATTCACATATATCTGAAAAAAAGATTTAAGTTGGTAGTATATTTAGGATATTATATATTTTTATATCTTTGATTTCCATATTTCCTATGATTACATAATTCCATTGGATAGTTCAGAAGCAACGATTAAAACTGAAGCTTTCAGCTGGGTGCTAGTGGCTCATGCCTGTAATCCTAACTACTCAGGAGGCTAAGATTGAAGATCATGGTTCAAAGCCTGTCCAGACAGAAAAGTCCATGAGATTTGTCTCCAACAAACTACTCAGAAAAAGCTACATGTGGCACCGTGGCTCAAGTGGTAGAGCACTAGCCTTGAGCCAAAGCTCAGGGACAGTGCTCCAGACTTAGAATTCAAGCCCAAGGACTAGCAAAAAAAAAAAAAAAAACTAAAGCCTTCCTTGGAGTCAACTCAAGATTGCCCATGACAATACTGTTTCCTTTTGTTTCCTAACTGAAGGTATCTGGGAAACTATTCCTACTTCAAGAGTGCTCCATGTAAGGAAATGACAGCACTGCTTGATGACACAGGCAGGACACAATCAAGAACCCAAAAGTGCCCATTTGGCCATCTTTGTTTAATACAAAGCCGATCCCTTGACCTTGTCCTTGTCCTTATCAGGATGGGGCCGCACAATTCATGGAAGGGCTCCCTCCCACACAGCCCTCCTCTGGGTAGGATTTCCCTAAAGTGTCCATGCCAAGGCAGGCCCCAAGAACACTGAAGCCAAGGCACAAAGGGAAGATAACTCAAATCCATCCCTGCTAATTACAAAGTTAACTTCCGAATTCAAAGAAGCCTAAAGTTATTTTTAATGAGGATCAATTATGAATCTCTGAATATTGTTTCTGGGTCTGTTATTAAGCAGAAAGGCCCAACCCATTGACTGTGCTCTCAAACCAACCTTTTAAATGACTGTAACAAGCTGGGCACTGGTAGCTCACATTGGTAATCCTAGCTACTCAAGAGGCTGAGATGAGGATTGTGGTTTAAAGCCAGCCTACTCAGGAAAGTCTGTGACAATCTCATCTCCAATGAGTTACCAGAGAGTGCCCAAGCCCTAAGTTCAAGCCCCAGAACAGGCACCAAAAATTAAAAAATAAAATAAAAATTCTGTCCCTGAGCTTTTGTGCTCAAGGCACACTTGAATCACAGCCCCACTTCCAGTTTTTTGGCAGTTAATTGGATGTAAGAGTCTCAACAGACTTTCCTGCCTGCACTGGTTTCAAACCTTGATTCTTCCATCTCAGCCTCCAAAGTAGCTAGGATTATGGGCTTGACCCACACACCAGCTATGACTATAACAATCTTGAAGTTTCCGGAGAAAGCAAAAGAACCTTGCCTTTTATACTCTGCCACTTGTAAAACACTCTGGCTTCCCTTCCATTGTGAGGGAACACAGGGCTGACCAATGCAGGGTGAGACACAGGAATTAGCAGAGGAAGCTGAAGAGGAGTCTTCCAGTGTCTCAGCTGGTCTCACTGGCAGGTCCAGCTGGTATGTCCAGACAGAGGCCAGCCTTCTGTCAGAGAAACACAGCTGTCACGGGCTAATGCACAACTCTGGCCAGAGCAGATGGCTGTGGGCAAATGTTAATTAATATTAAATGACAACAGATGAGCCTAAGTAGCTGATGTAAGGGTCAGAGTAGCTTACTTGCATTAGCATTTTTATCACACATCCAACTTTCTTGTTTGAGGATTCTACTTGTTTTCACAGGTTTATTTTCCTTGACACCTTCTAGAAAGTAAAATTCTTACTGTAAAGAACACACCATGTACACGTCACATGAGGGGCTTCTTAGACAGTTAGACACAAGCCACTGGCTCCTTTCCCTTGACTCCTATATCTTCAGTCCCTCACAGGGCTCTCTGGGTTGATACCTGTACACATTGTTTCTCCCCACACCACCCTCCTCCACAGGCACAAGCTCAAATGGCCACTCTACCTGAAGGATTCATTCATCTTCAGCCTCATGCTAAATTTCAGGATAAGGAAGTACAGCCATGTGTGAAACACCTCATGATCCCAGTAAACTCAAGACAATACTTGAAAACCGAACTTCTCTTCCCACAGACAACCAGCTCCAACTCTCCCAAGTTTATCCTTCTGGAAGTATACTTCATTCCTGAGTCCTCCATCTATGCCTGTTCCCATCACTCAACAGACTGGGTCTAATATTTTCTCTAATATACTAACATAAGCAGTTGGATTCAAAACAAGGGCTAAGCTGATTTCCCACACATCATAAAAACCTACTGCCTTCCAAGCCTAGGGTTCAAAATGCAAACTCCCAAATCTCTTCAGGATTTTTTTTTGCTGGTCCTGAAGCCTGAACTCTGGGCCTGGCTGCTGTCCCTCAGCTCTTCAGCTCAGGGCTAGTGCTCTACCATTTGAGCCACAGCGCCACTTCCAGCTTTTTCTGCTTATGTGGTCCTAAGGAATCGAACCCAGGGCCTCTTGCATGCAAGGCAAGCACTCTACCACTGAGTCACTTTCCCAGCCCCACTTCAGGTTTTGCTAAATCAAAGTCTGACCTTTTCAGATTTTCCCCTCCCTGCAGATATCTCCATTCTCATTAAATGGGCTGTTTCTACAGTCTCAGTAACTCTGACATTCACCATGGCCTTCTAGTTCTGTGCTTACCCAATTTCTACCTCTTTCCTGAAATGGGTCAAGCTATACCTCCTAAGTTTCTGTCACTGTTGTTTAGCAATTAAGTACTATTATGTTTTCTTATCTATGGCTGTCCTGAATTTCCATTCCAAGAAAGGAACCGTTGTACACTACTGGCAGGGACCAAAATGGTGCAGCAACTTTAAGAAAGATTGGCAGTTTCTTTAAAAAGCGTAACATAAAATTATTTTTACCATGAAATCCTAGTTATTATCTACTCAAAAGAAATGGAAATTCATTCATACACAAGACTTGCACACTATTGTTCTGATAGTGTGTAATAGTTAAATGTTCATCTCTGATAAGCAAATAGAATAAATGTGGAGCAGCTCAGTGGAGAGCACTTGACCAGCATACACAAAATTCTGGGTTCCATCCCCAACCCTGGTGGTAAAAAAGGTGAAATGTCAATCTAAAGCACTACTACTCAACAATCAAAACTAACATATGCTACAGTATGGGTAAAATGGGGAGATTATTTCAGATTCAGAAAAAGTTTTGAGTGCCAGGCCTAGCAATAATATTTTATCTAAAGAGGACCAATAATTTATATAAAAAAGCAACAGTATCTCAGCACACTTTTATAAAAACTCTGCCCATAGCAATGTGTATCTCATCTTTAATCACCTGTTTATAAAGGTCTTAAGACATTGCCAGAGCTTTTCTTCTTCATTAAATTTCCCTAAGCACTTTTCATAATTTAAGACAACAAACTCCAAAATGTATGGTTGAATCTTTTCATAAATAAATCCATAAAACATTCTAACAATGCACAGCAATGCTCTATTTTTACTTCTCATGATGTAAAAATAAAACTTCAATTTGGCCTAAATAAAAACCATGAAGACAGGGGCTGGGAAGGTGGCTCAGTGGTAGAGCACTTGCCTTGCATGCATGAGGCCCTGTGGTCAATTCCTCAGCATCACATAAGCAAAAAGAAAAAAAGCCGGAAGTGGTGCTGTGGCTCGAGTGGTAGAGTGCTAGCCTTGAGCTGAAGAGCTGAGGGACAGTGCCCAGGCCCAGAGTTCAGGCCCCACAACCAGACCAAAAAAAAAAAAAAAAAAAAAACCATGAAGGCAGTCTCAAACATCCATTGTACAATGAGGAAGCCCAAACTGGTTTGGGGCAAAAAAGGATATTATTCTTGAAACACTAGTAATTTCCATTTAGAGGATACCAAACCACTGTGGATTAAGACACACACACTCCCATGCTGGAGACTGAACCCAAGGCCTTATGTATGCAAGTGCTCTAGAATTGAGCTACATTCCCAGGCCTGTACCACAACCTTCATCATTTCAAGCAGCCAAGTTTACCTGGTAAGCATTTTAGTTACTTCTGAAAATAGGGAAGGAAAGCAGACACTAACCACAGTCAAAATTCAACTAAGATAGCCATCCAAACATGAAATTTCTAACTGTAAAATGTATCACCAAAAAAATTTTTTTCTTTTTTTTATTTTTAAGCTTCAGTTTTCTTTCTCCCAGAGAGGCACAGCACTTTTCTCTAAAAATATACTCATTGGGACATTGATAATTAATGCATGTAAGGTGGCATTATACTCCCAGACCAAATGATCTAGACAGCTACTAGGAAAAAGATCTCATCGTTAGAAATGTATCACAAGATGTTAGTTCTCGATGTGTACGAAGACTATTTTTAATGGCTGAAATAGCAGAATGTTAAGGCAACATCAATCAGAAAGCAGGGTATTTTAAAACACTAAGCCCTATTTCCTGCATGGCAAAACAAATGTGTTAAGACACTACTAAAAGCCAATACAAAAACTTTCCAAAATAACCTGCTGAGCTTGACTTTGCTGTTTAATCTTTTACATTTTGATGGCAGTGAGAAAAGAATACAGGCAGAAATTTCCTCGGCAAAAATTCAACACTTGATTTACTCACAAGGCTTACAGAAAGGAAGAAAAAGTTTTCTTGTTTGTCAACCATCCTTTTTAATATTCTACTTTCATACTATCCCCAGGTTATGCCTGAAAATGATGGCTAACTTGGATATAGAAAATATCAAGGGTCACCTCTGGAAGAATCACAAACAAGACAATGAACTTCTTAATCAGAACATCAACAGTCAGAATAAGAAAAGGATTTTACCAAGAGACTGACATTGACAGTTTTAACAAAACTGAAATACAACAAATTACAGAGCAAATCCACTAAAATGACAAAGAAAATTCTGTCCATGTAAAGGTTGGTTTAACCCCCAAGAATATCTTCAATTCTGATACTCACACCACACAACTAGTTAAGAAAATAAAGCGCAGTGTTTAGCAACTGGGCATCCTAACTACAGTGAGAGGCACTCTGTGCACACTCCTCCCTGGCAACAGCCAGATCAGCAAGGCCCGAAGCAGGGAAAACCTCTTATTTTTCAGCACAGGCAGCTGCTGTCTCCTTGTTGAAGCCCCGAATGGAGAGGTCATAGACCACCTCCTCTACTTTCTTCACATCATACTTCAAGCCATCATAGCGCTTCCTCAGCGAGTCATTTTTCAGGTTGAGAAGACGGAACCCAGAATCCAGCTCATTGATGAAAGTGGAGATGTGCAGGGGCCGGGAGTAATCTCCAGCAGTCACACTGTTGACAGACAGCCTTGACTAAAAAATGGAAGAGAAAAGAGTTCGTTATGACATGGTTCCTCCTTTGCCTGTCTTGTCCTGAGTCACACAACTAGAAGAACCCCTGATCTAGACAGCCACACTGACATTAGCTGTTTAGAATATATGAAAGCACAGACAAAAAATACAACTGCTCTAAAAATAAAATAAATCCCCCCAGAAATGAGATAATGTCTCCTATTACAAGTTTAATATAATTACCATCATCTAAAATGTCTCAAGTGTTAAATTGGTTATTGTGCAATAAAATGTGTTAAATTAAGCAAGTGACAAATTTAGAGATTAGCTAATGTACAGAGGAAAGAAATGAAATGTCAGGCAGACACAACATTTTTGCCATCTCTTCTTACTGAGTGACAACCCCAGTCACCCAGTCTTCACCAGACAGCAATTGAGAGACAGGATAAAAAGCTAAATGAAAGCTGGGTGCCGGTGGTCTGCCTGTAATCCTAGCTACTCAGGAGGCTAAGAGCTGAGCATCATGGTTCTTCAAAGCCAGCCCAGGCAAGAAAGTCCATGAGACTCTCATCTCCAATTAACCATCAAAAAACTGGAAGTGGCACTGTAGCTCAAGTGATAGAGCACTCACATTGAGCTGAAGAGCTCAGGGACAGCACCTAGTCCCAGAGTTCAAGACCCACAACCATCAAAAAAAAAAAAAAAAAAGAAGCTAAATGAAGTCAACACAGCATCATCTTGGAGAACAGTTAAGATTAAGCCCAAGATGCAACTCCAAACTCCCCTTGTCCATAAGATCCGCCCATTCTTCTAGATTCCCCTCAACCACACATTCAGTGCATTCCCAACACATGGTCACACCAAGCACTAATATGGACAAGGTGTTGGACTGCTGTTCACTGGGCAGTTATCTCCAAGCCTGAGGGGCTCAGTACAGTGTGCAGTGAGCCCCAGTATTCCTTCTCCCCATCTTCTTTAGTGAGAATCCCTGATTGTTACATACACATCATGCACATATACCCCAACAACCCCACACCTGCCTCTTTGACTAACAAGGCACTAGAAATGTTTTTGAGTTTAACTGCAGGAATGAAATCCAGAGCCGTATACATGCTAAGGAAGCACTCTACCACTTCCCCCGCAAGCCCACAGCTTTACTAAACACAAGTTGTGTGTACCATTTCAAACAAAAGTCAGGAGTACAAACTTTTCTCTATTCCTTCCTCCTATCAGCTAGAATGAAGATAAGAATGACTTTAGCAGAAGCAACAGAGCTGTATCAGCTCTGGGCTGCTCAAAACTTTCTTAAAAAGACAACTAGTAGACATGGTCACTTCTGTCACTACTCAAACCCTCTTCACAGCTTTTTTTTTTTTTAATTTAATTTAATTTTATTTGTGAACATACTGTACAGAGGGGTTACAATTGCATGGGCAGGATAATGCGTACATTTCTTACCAAGCATTGCAGCCTCTTCCTTTGTTTACCCTTCACATCACTTCCCAGCCTCCACCCTCCCCCCCAATCCCAATCCTTCTCCTTCCCCCCTCCCTCCCCTTCACAGCTTTTTTTCTATAGAATTGCTCTTTATAGGACAATTTTCTGAGAGATTAAGAGAATAAATGAATAACTTACACAGTTAATTTATTCCCTAAAACTATTATGAATTAACAGTTACAAGGAACGTAAGTCTTGCTACAATTCTAAGAGACATTATCATCTCTTAAAATTCACACAGTATCTGGGTGCCAATGGCTTGCCCCACAATTCTAGCTGAGAGGAGGCTAAGACCTGGAGGATCAAGGTTTGAAGCCAGCCTGGATAGAAAAGTCCAAGATTCTAACTAGCAAAATGCCAGACTGGAGGCATGTATCAAGTGGTAGAACACCAGCTGTGAGCAAGCAGCTGAGTGAGCTAAGGGCCCTAAGTTCCAGGCTTGGTGTGCGCACGCACACACACATCATACATTATAAAAAGGTGAATATGATCGCATTACATAATATACATGCATAGAACTACCATAATGAAACCCATTAACTTGGCACACTAGTAAACATTCATAGCTACTGCCCTGTCTCAACTCGTACTTCTTTGATGCCTAGCAAGCTATGACACATAGTGTAGTCCCTGACTACCTGATGATGGATGGCTAGAAAAGTAAGGGAGCCAGGCACCAGTGGCTCACACCTGTAATCCTAGCTGCTCAGGAGACTGAGACTTGAGGATCACAGTTCAAAGCCAGTCCAGGCAGCAAAGTCCATAAGACTCTTACCTACAATTAACCACCAGAAAACCAGAAGTGGTGCTGTGGCTCAAAGTGGTAGAGCATTAGCCTTAAGTGAAAAGGCTCAGGGACAGTGCCCAGGCCCCATGTTCAAATCCCACAATTGACAGAGAGAGACAGAGAGACAGACAGACAGAGAGAGACAGACAGACAGAGAGAGACAGACAGACAGACAGAGAGAGACAGAGAGACAGAGAGAAAGAGAGAACTTGGTGAGTTTTGGCACCCATGTCAAAATCTGAGAGTGAAGCAGGAAGATCAGAAAAGCAACTAGCAAATTACCAAGCGTCTAGCCAAGCACCAATAGCTCATTCCTATAATCCTAACTACTGAGGAGGCTTAGATCTGAAGACCTCAGTCTGAAGTCAGCATGGGAAAGATTATCTCCAAAATAACTAACAAGAAACAGTTATGGACCACAGGGCAGGCTCCAGCCAAGCAAGCAAACTGAGCAAGTATGAAGCTCTAAGTTCAAACTGTGATACTGGCAATTCACTTCTTACCAATTCACTAGCGAGAATTAAAACTCCTGAGAGATAATCTTCAACATCCAGATGAAATCCTTTCTCCCGATCTGGCTCAACTAAAAAGTAACAAAATAAGACAATCATGATATGAATGTACCTAAAACCCCGAAATTAATAAGACAATCATGATATTAATGTAACTAAAACCCAAAAATATATATAACACAATATAAATAAATGCACATTTAACTTTTTTCAAAAAGTGAAGGCCAATCTTTCCTGGAGGCTGAAGCTGTTTCACATCCTTGACAAGTAGGCCTCACTCAATTTTTCTTTCTCTTGGGTTCAATTTTTTTCCCATCTCTCAAAATCAAGAATGACAACTAGTTATAGCAGAACTATTACAAGACACAAGCTGAAGCTTTCACGAGAAATCAGCTATCTGCAAGTGACTTGGACTGGTCCATACAGACGAACACACAAGAAGACAGCAAATGCAGCAGGACACAGTGGGATGTTCACAGGGGTTCACTGTAAAATTCTTCCCACTTTCCTCTAAAAATGGCCACAGAGAATTTTTAGTTTTTGTATTTCTGAGAAACAAGCTTTCTGTATGATTTTTCATTGTAATAAACAAAAAGCTGAGGCCATAGCTGTTCCCACCAAAACCCATGCAAATGTACCTCATCCTACAACCCCACCAAAGAAACACTTACTGCCAAGAATTTCTGTAACCGCTTCTCGAGTAACTAGTGTTTCTGTTTCCAAATACACAACAAATGCTGCCAGGAAGACCAAGCGCTGCAGCACGAACCTCCAGTGCTCGTGAAACCTGCAAGAGAGGAAGATCATCAGAAGAGCACAGGCGTGTCTATGCAGCTTATAAATGAAGTTCTCTAAAAAAAAATATGCATCCGGGTGCCAGTGGCTCATGCCTATAATCCCAGCTACTCAGGAGGCTGAGATTCTGAGGAACATGGTTCAAAGCCAGCCCAGGCAGGAAAAGTCCATGAGACTTTTATCTCCAATAAACCACTCAGAAAACCAGAAGTGGTGCTGTGGCTCAAGTGGTAGAGTGCCAGCTTTGAGCTGAAGATCTGAGGGATAGTGCCCAGGCCCAGGGTGCAAACCCCACAACCAACAAAAAAAAAAGAAAAGAAGATTTTGGGGTAACAGGCAATTGTGAAGAACTGTTCAATACGAACAATGATACTGCTGATAAAATTAAAACTTGAAATTAAAAATAAATAAGAAGCCAGGCACCAAAGAACATCCCTGTAATACCAGCTATTTGGGTGGCAGAGATAGGAAGGACCACAGTTTGGGCTAGTCTAGCTAAAAAGTTAGAGAGACCTCAACAAACAAGTTGGACATGGTGGTGCACACCTGTAATCCAAGCTATGCAGGAGGCATAGGTAGAAGGATCATAGTCTGAGACCACCCTGCAAAAACACAAGACCATATATGAAAATAACTAAAGCAAAAAGGGCTGAGGATGTGGCTCATAGGATAGATACCTGTCTAGCAAGTATAAGGCCCTTAATTCAAACTTCTATATTACTTTTTTAAAAAGATTAAGTATAAGCATACATCAGCTTCAACATCTAGTTTATTTGTACCTTTTTGAATGATGAATCATAATCTTACAAAATTACTTTTTATAATCACTAATCAAAAGACATAAAAATTCAAGATTCTGTCATGCTGTGGGATACAACTGTAATCCCAGCAATCCAGAGACTGAGAGGCAAACAGGAAAAACACTTCAGCTCCTGGGTTCAAGACCAGCCTGCCAAAATAGGAAGACTCTATCACCAAGTAACAAAAGGAATTCTCTGGCTACTGACCTAAACTCATGACAAAGGTGTAAGAATATTCATACTATGCCTCAGATTTTCTTTTTTTTTTTTTAGTTGAGCCACAGTGCTACTTCCGGCTTTTTCTGTGTATGTGGTACTGAGAAATCGAACCCAGGGCTTCATGCTTGCTAGGCAAGCACTCTACCACTGAGCTACATGCCCAGCCCTATGCCTCAGATTTTCCAGTGTGGCTACAAACTCAAAGGACTTTTCTGCAGGACATGGTTACACACACCTGGAAGCCTTGGTACAAAGACCCTGTCTCACAAAAAAAAAAAAAAAAGTTTCTCAAAATAATGCAAGTCAGGGGGCTGGGAAGATGGCTCAGTGGTAGAGCGCTTGCCTTGCATGCATGAGGCCCTGGGTTCCATTCCTCAGCACCACATAAGCAAAAAGAAAAAAGCCGGAAGTGGCGCTGTTGCTCAAGTGGTAGAGTGCTAGCCTTGAGCTGAAGAGCTGAGGGACAGCGCCCAGGCCCAGAATTCAGGCCCCACAACCAGACCAAAAAAAAAAAAAAAATGCAAGTCAGTCAGGCAAAACTTTGAGGATACAGTCTCCAGAGCAGAAGGCTCTGAAGACCAGTTTACTGACTTATTTCTCTAAGCCTTCATGATCACTTACTGTGACTACCTTAAAGCAAAGTCAACAAAAAAAGGGGAAAGGCCAACTTCACATATTCTTCTCTAATTTTTCTTTTAACAATTCTTTACAATATAAATGCAACCCTGGACTAGGAATGTGGCTTAGTGGTAGAGTGCTTGCCTGTTGGGTCTTAGTCCCACGAAAGACAGAGGGGTCCAAGGAAAGGTAGCCTCCCTCAGCCCGGGAGACAATCAGACACAGGAGGGAGCCAATTCAAGCAGGTATAAAAACTCTTTTATTAACTGAGAGCAGCCCTTTTTAAAGCCAAAAAGGGCAGGTGGCATGGCAAGGGAGGAAGAGGAACCAGTCACTGTCAAGGTCACACCCTATCATGCACCTAAGCTTTCACAGGCTGGTTACACACTGAATGTAAGGTGAATTGGGCTCTGCCCACTCTATTCTCTCTCGGCGCCATCTTTGCTGCCCATGTGCTCTACAGTAAATTGGGCTCTGCCCACTCAACTCCCTCTCAGCACCATCTTTGCTGCCCATGTGCTCTACACTTGCCTAGCATGCATGAAGCCCTGGGTTCAATTCCACATAAACAGAAAAAGCCAGAAGGGGCGCTGTGACTCAAATGGTAGAGTACTAGCAAAAAAAGAAGCTCAAGGACAGTATCCAAGCCTTGAGTTCAAGCCCAAAAACTGGAAAAAAAATAAAATTAAAATAATAAATGCAACCCTGACCTCAGAGGCAGTGGCCATCAATGGTTTCCCTAGCCTGATTAATTCTGTTACAGGTCACACTTTACACTGTTACCTACTAACTAGGTATGTCTTAAGAGAACATGTTTCAGAAGTGGCGCTATGGCTCAAGTGGTAGAGCATTCGCCTTGCACTGAAGAGCTGAGGGATAGCACCCAGGCCCAGAGATCAAGCCCCATAACTGACAAAAAAGAAAGAGAGAGAGAGAGACCATGTTTCTTAGTAAAAGTTCTTGATTGTTATCAGAATTCATCAACACTCAGATGTAATTTTTCCAAGTTAAACGTACTACCACTTAAACCTGTAACTAACAGCCTAAGTATAGTTCATCCAACTGCACAGGAAACTCAAATGTATTTTGCCTTTCATTAATGAGGTATTTTCTTAATTACTTCTCCACTGCAAAAGTAATGCATTTTCCTTAGAAAACATTTTTTTAAGTATCAATTTTCTTCCTCAGTGGCTTTTTTTTCTTTTATATGGTAGGATTTTTACTTAGCCATATTCAATTATCAATGCCTGTAAGTTCTCTGTTACCTCTTTACCTAATATTATAAGACAGTGCCATTGTCCTTACAAACCTGTAATACTGTTCAGCAGGGAACTTGGTCTTCAGAGACGTTAGATGTGTTTTTACTGTACCAAAATGTTCTCGTGCTTTCAAACACCTCTTTGGAACTGATCACAAAAGACAATCAAATACAATCATGAAAAAACAAAATTTCAAATACAGTTCTTACTTAATAATTTATATAGTCCCACCTAGAAATTAACTTTTTTTTAATCCCATAGCCAAAAGTCTCTGTCTTTCAATCTAGTTCTCAAAATATCACATCTAGTTTCCTTACTGATTAACATTCTGAAAAATAAAAACTTGCTAAAAAGGGAATGTTTTAGGAAACATGTTGATACTTTGCAAAGTATCATAGTACAATAACCCCAAGAGGCTATTCATCAGCTGTTCATTCCTATTCAGTACCAGAGGAGAAAACTACAGGTAAATTACTTAGAACACCCTTATCTGGTCAAAAGAGCAATCACCAGTGATTCTCAATTAGGATGACCAAGTTGGTCATGGCACTCACTGTGTAAATCACTTACCTGATACCTGTAAATCTCCATTACTTTATTACTCTCCAACTGAAAATAATTTCAGCTCTTTCAGCTATGCTGGCCACACCTCTCCAACACAGGTTTCCCTGTCTAACCTTAACATATCTGATTTTCATTCAACAGGCCAACACAATAATATGAGAATATTTTAAAGTGGTCACCTCATGTTTTCAAACACATACTAAAAGATATTCAGGCAAGTGCTAATGTCTCATGCCTATAATCCTAGCTTCTCAGGAAGCTGAGATCTGAGGATCATGATTCAAAGCCAGTCTGGACAGGAAAATCTGTGAGACTCTTCTCTAATTAACCACCAAAAAACTGGAAATGGCACCGTGGCTCAAAGTGCTAAGAGCATGAGCCTTAAGAAAAAAGAACTCAGGTACAGTGCACAGGACCCAACCAAAAACAACAATATTTAGTCACTGAAATTGTGAAAACACACACACGCGCACACACACACGCACACACACACACACACACACAGGGCACAGTAGCATATGCCTGGAATCCCAGCATTTCAGGAGGACAGCTTGAGCCCAGGTAAAGATTCTATCTCAAAAACAAAATAATACACATACCAAATAAAAGTTGCTAGGTATACAACTAAAAAAAAAAACTGTCTGGTGCCAGTGGCTCATGCTTGTAATCCTAGTTACTTCTAGCTACTCAGTAGGCTGAGATCTGCGCAGTTAGAAGCCATCCCAGGCAGGAAAACTGGCAAGCCTCTTATCTCCAATAAACTACTAAAAAGCCAGACACAGAGCTATAGCTCAAGCGGTAGAGTGCTAGCCTTGAGCAAAAAAAGTTCAAGGACAGTGTGTATGCCCTGAGTGCAAGCCCTAAGACCAGTATGTGGGCACATGCGCATGCACGTGCGCGCACGCGCGCGCGCACACACACACACACATAGATGCACGCACACATAAATGCATACATCCATGCATGCATGCATGCATACACACACACTATCATTGCTATCAGAATTCTATCACAATAGAAAATATTCCTATTCAAACCACATAACTACTATAAATCTATAAAATGATCAAATATATTCCAATTTTAACACATGATAAAGCATAATGGAGATTAATAAAATAATACAAGCAAGGTATATCTGCTGTATGTAAACAAACTCTCTGAATGAAAGTTTGTTAAAATGAATAAAAATTTTCAAAGTCCAAACAAACAACTTACTGTCCTGAAATCCAGCTCCCTGGTGGACCCCTTGCAGCAGAGTTAATATCTCTCGAGCTGTTTGCTCTAAGCTCTGTACAACTTTTCGGATTTCCTAGAATTAAAATTTAAAATTTACAATCAGATAAACTCAGTGAAATTATCACAGACTCATATTTAACACACTAAAAAGCATTTAAAACAGTAATGGTCTTCACAAGAAGTGACCCACTATAACCAGGTTTGAATCCCAATTTTTCTGTTTACTTGCTCAGTGAGACTTTTAGGAGTCACTGAAAAAGATCCCTCAAGCCAGGTACCAGTGATTCATACCTGTAATCCCAGCCACTCAGGAGACTGAGATTTCAGGATCATGAAACCCGCCCAGGCAGAAAAGTCCCATGATATTCTTCCCTCCAATAACTTACTCAAAAAAAAGAAGTGGTGCACTATGGCTCAAAGTGGTAGTGCACTAGCCCTGAACAAAAGAGCTCAGGGACAGGACCAGGCCGAGTTCCAGACCCACAACCAACCAATCAATCAATAAAACTTCCATTCTTCAGACAGCTACAAAAGGATAACAATCACTCATCTCTTTCCAATACCTAACTAGGACACTGTAAATATAGTCTGTAAAATGAAAACTTGACTGTAAACACAAGGATTAAACAATTTTCACTAATTCATTTTACAAATACTAAGCACATCGATGTGCTAAGTACTGTATAAATTCTGGGGACCACACAGCAAGCCCCTTCACTCTAGCAACTTACCTAAGAATGAAAAAGACATTAAAAAGAAAATATGCTAGAGAAGTTATTTAGATTGTAAGGTCAAGGAGACACACATACCAAGCACGGTGGTGTCTGCCTGTAATCCCCGAAGGAAGATCTAGAATTTGAAGCCAAGGGGGATGGGAGGGAGAAAAGGGGAGAGAGAGGGAGAGAAGGAGAGAGGGGGAAAGGGGAGGAGGTGAGGAAGGAAGTGGAGGAGAGGAAGGAGGAGGAGGAGAGGAAGGAGGAGGAGGAGAGGAAGGAGGAAGAGAGGGAAGAGAGGGAGGAGAGGGAGGGAATGAGGGACAGAGTAAGGGTGACTGGACAAGAGAAACACTAATACAAGCTAACCAGGAAAAAGGAAAGAAATAAATTTCAGTAAAAGCAAAGTATGTAGGACAATGAAAAGGCAAATAATTTTTTAAAGGTAGGGGGAAGAAACCATTTGGGGCAGCAAAGCAATGAAAAGGAGGTAAGCTGAACATAATATTCACGCAAAGAAAACAGTATAAAAGGAGATCGGAGAGAGACTCTTCTGTGTAATAAAGAGGAAAGCGTTTTCAAAATGTCTTAAAAAGCGTGTGCTTTTTAAGACATGACCAATGAGTAAAAGCAAAGGTGCCTGGCTAAGTCCCAGGCCCTAACCCAGCAAATGCGAGAGATAGGGAAGCTGTCACTCAAACGAGGCCTGGCGTTGGTGGCTGACGCCTAACAATCCTAGCTACTCAGGGAGCCGAGTTTTGCGGTTCGAGGCCAGCTCAGGCAGCCAAGTCCTACCTCCAATAAACTACCAAAAGCCCAGAAGTGAAGCAGTGGCTCAAGTGGTAGAGTGCGAGCCGTGAGCAAACGTAGCTCAAGTATAGCGCCCAGATCCTGAGTGAAAGATGATTAGGGCTGGCGCCCAGGCTCTAAGTTCAAGCCCCATGACCAGCACCAAAAAGAAAAAGCCGGTGAAGCCGAAACCCGGAACGCGGGATCCGCACCAAGCACAGAGCACTAGAGCACCAGAAACAGAGGTCGGAGGCGGGAGGCGGGAGGCGGCCTAGCCTGAATGGAGGGGGAGCTGCCCGCCTCGAACGTGCCCCGCCGCCCGAAGCAGTGCAGCGGAGGGGGTCCAGACGACGCTGGCCGGCGAGACCAGGGCTGGGGCTGGGGCCGGGGCCGGGGCCGGGGCTGGAGCTGGAGCTGGAGCCGGGGCTGGAGCTGGAGCCGGGGCCGGGGCCGGGCCGGGGATGGAGAAAGGAACTCGCCTCTCGGATGTCCTGTTCCGCAGCCAGAAAGCCCTGCAGCTCCACGAAGATCTCGCTCACAGACATGGCGCCGGTTGCACAACAACCAGTGGAGCAGCGATGACCGCCGAAGTATTATTGTTCCGCAGACCAGATGCAGGCGATCTCCACACACACCCGCGCCGCCGCCACCGCCGCCGCGCTCACCCCCCTCTACGCGCCACGGCTGTCGCCGGGGTCCTCCAAGGCCCACGGCGCGCCGGAGCCCGGGCTGCCCGCCGACCTGCCTGAGGCGCGGGGAAGGGGAGTGGGCGGGACTTCCGTTTGGGGCCTTCAAATCAGCCTGGCCAGGAATAGTGAAAGGGGTCAAGGGAGCGCGT